CCACACCTCAGCCCTGTTCACACCTGAGCCTGTCCCACACCTGAGCCTGTCCCACACCTCAGCCCTGTCCCACACCTCAGCCCTGTTCACACCTGAGCCCTGTTCTGCACCTGAGCCTGTCCCACACCTGAGCCGTGTTCACACCTGAGCTCTGTTCTGCACCTGAGCCTGTCCCACACCTGAGCCTGTCCCACACCTGAGCCTGTCCCACACCTGAGCCCTGTCCCACACCTGAGCCTGTTCACACCTGAGCCCTGTTCACACCTGAGCCTGTCCACACCTGAGCTCTGTTCTGCACCTGAGCCTGTCCCACACCTGAGCCCTGTTCACACCTGAGCCCTGTTCACACCTGAGCCTGTCCCACACCTGAGCCCTGTTCACACCTGAGCCTGTCCCACACCTCAGCTCTGTTCACACCTGAGCCTGTCCCACACCTGAGCCTGTCCCACACCTCAGCCCTGTTCACACCTGAGCTCTGTTCTGCACCTGAGCCCTGTCCCACACCTGAGCCCTGTCCCACACCTGAGCTCTGTTCACACCTGAGCCTGTTCACACCTGAGCCCTGTTCACACCTGAGCCTGTCCCACACCTGATCATGTTCACACCTGAGCCTGTTTTCACACCTGAGCCTGTTCACACCTCAGCCCTGTTCAAACCTGAGCCTGTTCACACCTGAGCGCGTTCCCCAGGCAGCAAGGGCCTGCTGGATGGCCAGGGCTGCCATGGAGCAGGGAGGGAGCAGCAGGAGCTGCCTCCCAGCACCAGCCTGGCCTGGCCTGGCTGAGCCTCCTGCAGGCAGAGCTCCTCCAAGGGCTGCCCTCACTGGGGAGATCTCGGCCTTTTCTGCCCCTCTGTCCTACACAGCAACTTCAAGAGTGTATGAAATACCAGTTTGAGCAGCACCTGAGAGAAGAGTAGATTGTACCTTTGGGGAATCGTGTCATTCAATAAGAAAATTAGTAACTTTGTAGTTAATTACCTACAATGGGCAGGTATCCTGAGTCCCCTTCTCAAATGCAGACATACACATGGGCAGTAATGCACTGAGTGATATTAACTGGCTAAAACTGATGGTACACAACATTTATCACTCCTAGTTTTTAAACTATCTAATATTCAGAAGGACTGTCTTGGTAATTACCACAGAACACCCAACACTTGCTTTTAACACTAATTTCTTAAAATGCATTAGATTGCATCAAATCCATCACTCCATCTCTGTCTAAATTATCACTAATTGACACTGCAAGTAATTTAGATGAAGGAGCTCAAGGGCCTGAAAAAATATGAAATCATGGACTGTCTGTGTTCAGTCAGAGCAGACATACCTTTACATTGCTGGCTGTGCTGTTCCACATCAGCAGAGTTCAGATGCTCTAACCAGGGGATTAACTCAGCCTCTTTGGATCTGCCAAACCAATCCATTTCATCCTTTGAGAGTTTTCAATATGCCAGGAACCCACCTCTGTGGAAGAATAAATGATAAGCATGTAATAGTCCTCTCCCTGCATCACCAGCACAGACTATTTCTAGAACCTTTATTGAAGCTCACTTGAAAACCAGGAAATGCATTTTAGAAAACCACTTTAGTGACCAGGATGGTCAGGAATTAATCAGGTATTGAGTTCTCCACATGGAGATTGTCTGTTTAAACCTCATCCAGGCCAAGAGCAATCACAGGCTCTTGCCCTTGGAAGACTCATGGCTGTAGACATGAAAGAGCTCCTTTGGCCTCAGTCCAGGCTGCTGCCCATGATCATTCACACCACAAAATCCAGCACCTCCAGGACTGGCAATTTCACATTCTTGCTGGCAATTACAGCAAAAACCCCAGGAACTGAAAGGAGGAAGGTGTTGAATGACTTGTCCCTGCAGTTTGTCACCCATAGCCATAGGTGAGGCAAATTGACAAAGTGTTTTAGGGATGTTCAGAGCATTTTCAGTTTTGATGCCTTTTATCCCCAGTGAATACGAAATACAAACACACAATTCCTACAAAATGAAGAAAGTGTGTTTCACTTTGTGTAAAGAAGTGCTAACTACAAGCTTTATTAGACATTCAGTAAATTATGTTTGCCAAATAGCAAATGAAACATTTATTCTGAGCAGGTTTATTTGATGTGCTTAAATAGTGGCCTGGTTATACTTGGCCATCTATGTTAAAGAAAAAAAGGTGTGCACTGCAAACAATCATTTTAAACTTTTAAACCTAAGCTTATACAAAATCCCATTCACCCCTCAACAGCTCTGTTTCCCTTTGGGCTTTATAGGAATCTTCAGATGAAATTAATAATTGTGTTCGACCATTGGTCTCTGATATTTATGCCAATTTAATTAAAATAGCAAATAACTTATTTACATCCAAAAAAAATTTAAAGTCTAGAGAAGTCTAGCTGACTCTTCATACTGGTAACCCCAATTGTGCAGGTGATTTTAGCATGAAATGTGCCAATGCTCTTTCCAGATGCCTTTGCACTGATTGATGTTGGCTTGGTGCTTCTTTAGTAATTGAGTTTTTTCTACAGAAATGTTCAGGGCACTATAGAAATTCTTTCTTATTTTTTACAAGAGCTTATAAAACTTCCACGACAGTGTCACAAAACAGCACAGCTTGTTCTTATTTCAGTAGCTTAGGCTTGCTACTTTTGTTTGTTAAATACATTTCTGAAATATTTAATTATGAATTCCACTAGGGCATTTTTTCTTGTGGGACTTTTGCTGCTCCTGAAGTTCTTTATCCAGTGGTGCTGCTGCTGTTTTAACTCAGCACATCTCAAGGATCCAAATTCTCTTTCAGACTAAATGGACCCCATCACCTCTTCTCATTTAACACTATTAACAGAGCTAGAAGTTAATCTTCCCCTGAATTAAAGTGAAATATTCTCTAAAACAGCCAGTGCTTCCACCCAGGAGTGACAGAACTACCTCAAGTATCTTCTCTTACACAAGAATCAAGTTTCAAATTTCAAATATGAATAGCAAGGTTTAAAGTTCTGCCAGGTACATTTTGGAGCACTGGTTTGCCTTCACTTTTCCTACCCTGGAAATAATAAAAAAGAGGCAGGTACAAGTTTACTGTTCTGTGTAGTTCTGCTCTCTACACAAAAGTAAATTGTGGGTTTGGGCCAGTGTTTGTGCCTTCAGCTTTCAAGGTTCCCAAGTCCTTTAGGTGCTGGACAGAAAGGACTCAGAATCAGTAACACAAAATTTATTTATGTAAAAAAGCACAAGTGGGGAAGAGGTTCTGAGAAAACAGAATGGCTTTAAAATTTGGGTTTACAGTAATATTTACAGAATAAATTAAATTATCTTTAAGAATATTCTTAAATTAGCTTTAAGAATAGCACAGTGAGTCCTCAGAGATTCAGAAAAGTTAACTTTTATTAACTAGTGCTTCTATTTATGTGAACAAGAGACTTCTCTTCAAGATACTTTGTGTAATTGTGGTGATAAATTCCTAGCTCTTTGATTTTCCCAGAATGTAAGCAAGATGGAAAGCAAAGGGCACCAAATACCTTTGGAAATTTCCTACTTCCAGCAAAAGGCATTAAAATAAGCTCTTAGAGGTTTAATTAAGTTTTTAACTGGTTCATGTTTATTTTGCAATATAAGATGTCCTGTTCAAGAATTAATGAGATTACTTACTTGACAGGATTAAAAACATAAGCAACTTCTGAGAAGGTGATAATTTTATGATATATTTGTGTTTCAATAAAACAGTAAGTGAAGCACTAGGTCTGGTCTAAATTTACAATCCAGCCAACTACCATAACCTAAATAACTGGCCCATTCTGTTGTGTAAATGCTGCCTCAGAAACTTTCATCAAATGCATTCAAAAAGAAATACTGTCCCCACAATTGCTGAATGGGTATCATCATGGCATCATACTTAATGCAGCATTCCTCACTGGATAGAAAAATGTATTCCCTAATACTATTTATACATTCACCCTAAGAAAGAGCAGACTGTGAGATTTTTTTCCAGTGAATTGAGAGGATAACATTGCATTCAGATGGAGCTAGGAAAACCAAAATACTTTCTTTTTTTTTTTTTTATTTTAATATCTACCACATTCTAAAGTTTCTCTTTTAACACTGATTAAAGGTTTTAGGGGGTCTTCCCTTTTGTTTCCCCATTATATGTGCAGTGTTGCTGTGTTTCTCCAAGCTGAGGGCTGAGACAGCCTCTGAGACTCTCAGAATAAACAGTGCTCCTGAAATTGCTGATGACATTTTTGTACCTGCATAAGAATTTCGAATACACTTCCAAATTCTGCAGCTTTTAATTACTTCACTTCCACGCACTGTCACACACTCAGTATTACAGGCGTTCTGAAGTGCTCTTGTGGAAGTGAAGCATCTGAAAGTTCACCAGCTGCTCTCTCAGGGCCAGTCCCAGCAGCCAGCAATACTCATCCTCACACAAACCCTCAGGGAAAGCAGCACAATCCATAGGATTTCTATGAAAAGGCTAACCAGGGGGTGGCATCAACAAAACTTCAGTGTTCAGGGACATTTCTTAAACAAGGCACTTCAGAGATCTAAAGAAGTTTTGGTAGCAGAAAGTAGTGAACAGAAATAATCACAGGCTAAAAAATCTTGGGTTTCTCTCACATGGAAACTCTATTTAAATCCCCAGCCACATTTAGCTCTCTCTTACCTAAATTTACACCAACAGCAAAGCTTTTGGTGCAAAAGAGAAAGCTTTGAGACAGCAGGACCATGTCTGTAGGAAATACTTTGGCACATGGGTATGACTGAGGACAGGAGGTGTCACACTAGATGAAATCAGGGCCCTGAGTGAGGAGTAAATTGTTTGCAACGAGAAGCACATTATAGAGGAGAGGGGGCTGAAATGAGTTCCAGCTCACAAACCATGCCCAACTGTGACCAAACAAGAAGTTACCCATCAGAAGTTTATGAAATAAAATTTCCTTTTAAAAATCATTAGGAAACAATTCTCTGTGCAGGTGAAAGGCCGTTTTCCTACAATACCAGCAGCTCAATTCTATGCAAATTTTGATTAGGTATGATTCATGGTGTAATTAATAGCTTGGTCCAGTTTTAAAACAAAGTAAAAATGTCTCTTTTTCAAGGGACTTCTATGATTTAGCTTTTGTAAACTGTAAAAATGAATAATATATTTGTCATGTTGATGTATATGATGTCCTCTTGTCCTGCTTTGCTCTGGTTGTAGTTATGTAAACCAAAGTAGTTGAAGTACTGAAAACTGGGGTTTAAAAATTTTGCTTTCAAGCTGTTGAGGTTAATAATAGGCTTTTGCTGTGATAAATATGTTCCCAAGAATACAGTAATGTACACAATGAAAATTAAAAAGCGATATTTGAAATTATTTAAATTGCAATCAAATAGCATAATCTGGGTAGAATTTCCCATACAACAAAGAATCCCCAAGTCCTAAAACCTCTCGGAATTAGTAAAACATCAAGAAAGCACTGCCAAATAGAAAATATTCTGCAAACTCTCAGTGTTATCATTCTAATGATTCTAATATCATTCTATATTAAAATTCTATACATAATTGATGTAACTATTAATAGCGCCCAAAATTTAAGTCTCTCAAAATCAATAAGGTTTGTAAAAGTAGGGAAATGATATTGCCACGGCATGCATGTCGAATTGTTTACTTTTCTTTATCCACAGATCATGAAGGAAGTTCGGAGAGCATTGTGCAATGCATCAGCTGATGACAGTAAACTCTTACTTCTCAGCGCAGTGGGAAGTGTATTCTGTAGTGGCCTAGATTACTCATATTTAATTGGCAGGTTATCCAATGACAGAAGAAAGGAAAGCACTAGGATTGCAGAAGCTATAAGGTGACCCAAGCTTACCTATGATCTCTAAATTATGAAATGCAGTGTGTGATTATAAAGATATTTATCAGGTCCAAAAATGTTGTATATTTAAATGTTGATTGCATTCCAATTATAGTCCTGCAAATTTGTTTAGTAAAAAGAAACTTGGACCTTTCCATATTAGAAAAGAAAGCACATTTATTCCAGTGCTAATATCCATAGGGATTTATTTTATTCTAATTCTCTGTATTTAATATTTCAAATCATTCCTCCAAAATCAAATACAACTTTGTTGTTGTTTTTCCAAATTCAGTATTGCTTCATGTTCTAAAGTGGTTCCTGAAAGGCAGATCTTTTACTTGTTTTAATGTTCATCATTTTAATTAATTTCAGTCCAAATGGGAATCCATGGCTTATATTCTGTTGAAATAGCAGTCTGCCACTGTATTTCAGAACCTTACTAGAAAGGTCTCCACTCTTCTTCTTAAATTTAAATTACTTAATATATATGTAAATGTAATTTTATTTTTGTAACTAAAATGCAACTTTCCTTATACATATATATATATATATATATCACATTACCTTAATAGAATTCCAGGGTTTATGACATGCAGTCTGCAAATCAATCTGCACAACACATCACCAAATGTTCCATTATCCACTAGGCAGATTTTCCAGTATAAATCAATATTATTCCACTAAAGCCAATGGTATTTCACCAGGAGACAATTTGGTCCCTTTTTCCCCCCCATTTTCTACAAATAAATATTGTTCTGAGAGCTTTAAAACTTTATGCAACAATACTATGAAGGAATATTGAAGAATTTTTTACAAGATATGTCTACTTGGGATTTATTAGTATAATGTAAGATCAGGTTTAGATATTACACAAAGTATATTAACCACCAATTATCTTGGTTACAACTACTGCAGATCAGCTTGGATTCCAGGTTTAAAAATTGTGAAATTCTCAAAGTAGCAATTATTTTGAAAGACTTTAAAAGACACTTCTTAAATGTAGTAAGTTACAAGCTGTTTATAAGACCCTAAATATGCTCAAATATCATGGAGTGATATTTTTTAAAAGAGAAACCCTTTGAAGGACACAAATCTAAGTTTATTTTTTAAATGTGAGGGTTTTTTAACAATGTAAAACAAAAAAAAAAAAGTGAGGGTAGAAAATCACAATTCTTGTTTGAAAACACAGGCACACTCACCACCCACCAAAAGATAAAAATTTAGTATTATTGTAAAAATTGTGCAGTTAAGTGTTGCTATATAAGTTTACATTTATTTGCATACATCTAATATACAGGTGTACTTATCAATCCAACATTTAAATAAGCCAGACTGTGATACTCAGTTTTTCCACCCTTGGACTCACAGAACACTCTTGAAATACTGGTACAATGTACTGCTTGTACCTTGTCAAGAATGTCGGCTTCAGGCCCACTGAAAATAGATTTTTATTGTACTTCTGGAAACAATACCCTACGTTTTCCATTTAGCACTCCCTGTGCTTTCTGTGAACAAAGGACTCAGCTCATGGAAAATAAACTGTAATAAGAGAAGAAAAATGTCCATTGCTTTTTCCAATGGTTTGGATGTCCTAAAATACATCCATGGATCTCTGCCTCTGCTGCTTTACATCAAGTTAGACTTGTATCAAAGTGAATTTGAAGTCTTGGTTTCCATGTGTTTCCACTTTCCAAGCGTGGCTCTCCTGTACCGGTCACAGCTGAAGTTTCAGTCCCTATCAAGTCTCCTCTCCCAGGAATGGATCAGTCACTGGGGCTGGCAGTGAACGGATGTGCAGCACTGCAGCTCCATCCCAGATCCATGCCAGATCCATGCCAGACCCATCCCAGTCCCACCAGTGAGCTGCCACCATCCCCACGCTGTCCTGGAGCAGGGAAAGGGCAGAGAGGCTGCACAGTGTGACCTGCAGAGGCCTGGGATGGACTCCTGGAAGGCATTCCCAGCACTGGGCTCACACCAGCAGCTGGGCAGCGCTGTGGGACCTGAGCCACAACAGTCTGGGTGTGCTCAGAAGAAAACAGACAAGGACAAATTTACTTGCTCAGCTTCTTTACAGCCCTGGATGTAAAGCCTACAAGCCCTCAAGCCCTGATCAGCAGCAAGAGCCTGGAAGAGTGCAGAGGTGTCTGAGCATCTCAGCTTGTATTCCATGGTCAGCCTCCCAGATGTGCTCTAGCAAATCCAGAAGCCTCCTGCAGACACTTTTTCCTGTATTTAAGCATCTGGATCTACTGCACAACAGCTATAATGTGAAAGCCTTTTCAAAGACTGCTTTGAACTGAAACAAGGATCCTGTAGCCCAGAAACTCCCTGGGTGAACTTACGGTTTGGAGACAAGGAAACGTGCCAAGTTCAGGGTACAGAGACAACCCACTGAAACAAGGCACCCAACAGGAAACAAAGATAAATGGAGTGCTGGTCACTGCAGCTTCTGGAGACCAAAGGCAGGCATTTGTTCCCCTCATCATCTCCCAGTGTAGCCTTTCACTCCATCCTAGAAGTAGCATGTTCCATACCCATTCATTTTACCATCCTCTGTGCTCCCCATTCTTCCCTCATGACAGAGGCTCTCTGTGTCTTTTCTCGAGTTCCACTCTCTCCAGGTCCTCCCTTCCTTGCTCACTCATCTGAAGATTTCTTCAACCCTTCCCCTCCATTAATGTGTTCTGCTTTATTCTTCTTCCACATTTTGTTTCCTCTCCACATCCCAAATTGCTTTTCCATATTCACTTCCAGTCCTGTTTATCACCATGATTCCCGCTTCTCTCCACAACACTGGTTTTATCTGCCTCCACAGGATCCTCAGATTTACTGCCACCATTTATCCTTGGTTTGCTTTCTTTTTACCTATCATTCATCACATCCCTATTCACAACTGCAGTCCTGTCTGAAAGACTTACGTAACTACAGAGGTTCTCAAAATTCTGGAATTAATGAGGTGCAGTGATCCACAGTCACTACTCAGTCATAAACAACCAAAGAAATAATGAGATAAGGGAACAGCATTGTATCTGCAACAAAAACTAATCACAACTCTCCTTAACCCTGATCTCCTCTAGACAGAAATGGTCTTGAACAGACAAAAACCATGTTCCTTATTTCACTCTCTTTGTCTTGACTGCAATCTCCTGGTTTACTACTGTGAGCAGAGCTGCATCAATTCTCTATTTTCCCATGGTCCTCCTTACTAGAGGACTTCAAAAACAGAATGTATTAATTGAAAATTTAATGCTGGGTCATCTCAGACTCTTTGTTCTCATGTAAAACACATCCAGTGCCCCTGCACTTCAGCCCAGCTGCCACATGTGCTCTCTAACATGCAAGGCCCACCTGTGCTCAGGTACAGAGGCCTGGATCCTTTTGACCTCAGTGGGAGAGCAGCAACTCATCAAGGGCACATTTGACAAAATGTTCTTTCCTAAAATCTGTCAGCAAAGATGCACTCTGGATCTAATAAATAACCAGCGCAGGGACAGAATCTCCTCTTTTGCTTGGAATTTGATTTATCCATGTCTTTTTTCTAAAGTAACTGAGCATCTCGTTTGCCTCCATATACCTGCTGTGCACTGAGCTGCTGGAGCCCATCATTTGCCCACAATTACACTCTTGCTTTTTCCTAATTGGTGTAAAGGCCGTTCCATTCAACAGATGTCTTTCCACAGCTGCTGGTAGGTAGCTTATTTAAAAGCTCTCATTGCACAGAATTTAACTTATTCTAGTTCATTCATCCAGATGAATCCGATGACATTTAACTTCCCTGTAATTTCTCATCACATTACTGGGGTAGTCAGCCAAGGGCATCTGCTTTGTAAGGCTTTGCTGAAGATTTTTGCAATGAAGATCCAACTGAAGATCACTCATCCTGTTCAAACATTTCTCTGACTCCTCTTTACATGTCTTGTTCTTTCTGCTGGTGCCATAAACATTACAATCTCCAAAGCCACTGATGGGACTTGCAGTAACTTTGACACAGAATCTTAAGAGAACTTTTTGGAAAAAAAAATTCAGCATATTATATTTCATCAGCAGCCAAACAAGGTCCATCCCAGCCACTGTGGGGCAAACCAAGAAGTGCTGCGTGTTCAAGCTCGGGAGTTACTGGTCCAGAAGTAAAAGTAACCCAACCAAACCTTCCTGCAAAAAGTATCACACTCAATGCAATCCACTTAATCAGACCATATACAACATACACAAAACTATGCAACAGCCCAGGTACTCAGAAAGATTAAGTAACTAAAAGTAAGCAGACTTTTCCATGTGCAAACTACAAAGTATCTTGCAGTTCTGACCTCATAAAACTGGCCATTTGTTGTGTTCTTCTGTGGTTCTAATTTGTTTTCAGATTAAGTACTTTAAACTTGGGTATTTATATGTTACTTCTGTATTCAAGATCTTTCTTTTATTTTTTATTTTAGGGATTTTGTAAAAGCTTTTATTCAGTTTAAGAAGCCAATTGTGGTTGCTATCAACGGCCCTGCTCTGGGGTTAGGAGCTTCTATTTTACCACTCTGTGATATCGTTTGGGCAAGTGAGAAGGCTTGGTTTCAGACACCATATGCAACAATCCGACTCACTCCAGCTGGCTGCTCATCATACACATTCCCACAAATTCTGGGTGTTGCACTGGTAAGGTTTTCTACCTCAAATTGCTGAAGAACCTTTCATAAATTCCTGATTCTTTCTCTCTTTAAAAAGTAAACAGTTTTCTTAATTGTCTTTAATGAAAATGAAATCTGTGGAAAGTTCATCTAATCACTACCCACTTCTTATCATGAAATAATCTTGAATTCAATATACAACAGCTGCTGTACACAAGAAAGATTGTCAACAGCATGGTAGAAAAGGGAAGAAATACATTAGCAGAATAACCTTGCAGAGTAGTTGTCTGTATCATGCTAGGAGTGGGCAGTAATACAGCCAGATACTGCTCTCTGCTCTTTAAAGATAATCCACAATGATTCCAGTAAGGCTGCTTAGCTTTTACCAGTAAATAAGAATTATTATACCAATTATACCAATAAATTAGAATTTGCCCCACAAATATTTCCTAGTGGGTTCCGTGACTCTCCACACAGTATCACTGATAGTTACTCTTGTAAGATCAGCAATACAGATTCACCATGCATGCCAGCACATTTCTCTTAAATTAAACCCATGCTATGCTCTGGCCACCTGCACAATCCTTAAATAGCTACTGAAACTCCTTTTAAAGTATTTTGCAGTATGGAAAGATACAGAAGAACATTTGTAATTTAATCGTAAAAATAGCAAGCAAGTATGAGAAAAATTTGAAGGGAATTATAACCCAAGATTACCAGAGTCTTTTGGTTTCACAGGCAAATGAGATGTTGTTCTGTGGGAGAAAGCTGACAGCACAGGAAGCCTGCAGCAGAGGACTGGTGTCACAAGTATTCTGGCCAACAACATTTAGCCAAGAAGTGATGCTACGAGTGAAAGAAATGGCATCCTGCAGTGCAGTGGTAAGAAATCTAACTCCATTAAATTTCACAGACATTTCACACAGGTAAGGTGTGCTCCCAAGGCCTGTCACGTGTGGGACCTCAGTTTCCACAACCATACCTGTGAAAGAAGGCTGACATCAGAAAACCTGGATAGGAATCAGTGAGTTTCTCATTTTTCAGGGATCAGGATGGGGGGAATTATTTCCTTTCACAATATTGGCAGTTACTCAATGAGTGGCACCTCCTTGCCCCAGATTTTGAAAGGGGATTTTAGCACAGGTTTCCTGCATGAAGGTGTAACAGTCTGAAACTCTTCAACTGTACTAGGAAACCTGTAAGAAAACAGATTTGCCCTTCACTTTGTCCTGGCCTACAGGACAGGATTTCAGCTGAATCTGCCTTCTTTCTGCACCTGCACTGCTGGTGCAGAATGTTCCAGACAGAAGGGTAGGATAGTGCCAGCTAAGCTCTGCTGTGAAGGAGAGGTGAGATCCAGACAAGGGGGATTTGAACACATTCTGGTCACAGTGTATTATAACTTTCCTTTTGTGTACACAAAAGTTGAAAGAAAATCCTTTCCTGTCTTCCTAGAGGTTTTTCCCTTCAGGCAGATGTACTCCTATTCTGGGCACATCCTTGTTTAAAAAACATGCAGTGAAGAAAGTGATACTGGCTGCAATAAAACTGCAGTAATTAAAGTGAAAACTGTTATAGTTTCTTGCTGTATTTCCTATGTCTGAAACTGGCTCAAAATCCCTCAGTTTCATTGGAAAGATCTGCTGTAAAAGGAGGTAGAGACACAAGAGAATTTTAATTAAACAAAGTGTAGATTCGATCTCACAGAAGACATTGAGAATGAAACTCTCTAGAAATTTAGCAGAATTTTATTTGATGATGCTGATATAATGTGTATTATTTGAGTAGAGAAAACCTCTGGGCTTTACTGTGAATTCTTCCTTCCCTCACTGCTATTGGCTGTCCATGAAATTTTCTCAAGACGCCTTGGAAAGACCGGTTCTGAGTTGTGGACAAAGATAAACCTTCAAAGACTTGTTCACAAACAGACCACAAAAAATGCACAGGGCCCTTGATTTGCTATTAACACCATTTACTGGAGTTAAAGACTAAGACTACTTTGCAATAGCAGTGTTGAAACCCACAACACATAGGAACTGGGCTTAACATGAAGGTCTGGGCAAAGCTGAATGAAGAGAATGCACCTCCCTTCCCACAGAACACTGTGTTAGTTTTATTAAATCTCCTGTCCTCAGCAAATCAGTAATGTAGGAATTATTATTGGGTTTGTTTGACCAGTTCATTTCCTTGTGAAATACAGACTGGTGGTGTGTATTTAAAAACTAAGGAATCAATCTCAATGTGTTTAAAAATGGGTCTGGGAGAAAGGAGCTGAACTATGGGAGCAACCATGGACCTACAGTTTGTGCCTTTCAGAACTTGCAACAATTACTAAGAGCTTGAGGTTGGGCTTTCTATTGCAAAGATCTCAGGTAATTTGTTGTATCTGCCAAGTAAATCTAATTCCACAACACAGTCGGAGGATGCTTGTTTTGCTTAGCACAAATCTTTCACAAACTATTTAACTTCTATAAAAATGTAAGCAGATAGACTTAAAAGGGGATTTGCAGTAAAGGCCCTTTCCTATTAATTTCTGTATTGATAAGTAAATAATACATGAGGGAAAATTGTTAAAGATAATGGACGTCCACATTTGGGTTTCCAACATGTCTACCCTTAAAGGCCACCTTCCAGAAAACAGGTAGCCAGGATATTGTCCCTCACACATTTTCATTTCAGTGTGAGGGAGTTCAGCTCCTTGTGCTTCATGGCGCACCTTCAATAAACTAAGGTACTTTAGAATCCCTCATTCTTTTAAAAACCTGGCACTAACCCATCAACCTCAATTCTTAAAGATGCTGACTATCAGCAAGTGGAGTTGTGGCTAGAAATCAAATGTAATTTCTGTGCCCAGAGAAGTTATTTAGATCATAAAACAGAGTCAGTATAAAAATGCTGGTCATGCCATTATCCATAGTAATTTTTTCAGATTCAGAATAAAATACGGAATTGTATTTTGGCTTTAGGTGTTGGAAGAGTCCAAATGTCTCGTGCGGAGCTTCCTGAAATCTGGACTTGAAGAGGTGAACGAGAAGGAGTGTCAGATGTTAAAACAGCTGTGGAGTTCTTCCAAAGGACTGGATTCATTATTCAGCTACTTGCAAGACAAAATTTATGAAGTCTGATATCTTGGCCTAACTTAAAGAGAAATTGCTCCGGTTGTGACCAGAGTCAGACATGACCATGTTTGAGAAGCAGAGGCAATGCATCAGTGAGGAATTTGTGACAGTGATCCCAATGCCTGTGGCTGTGTGAGCTGCACAGCCGCTCGTAGCTGGTTTGATTTTGTGTAACCAAGACGTGGGCAGGCGTTCAGTGCACGTAACCTGTGCAGAGGCTGCATCTTTCACATTGCTCATCCACATCCAACTCTACATTCCATGTGCTGAGAAGCACCACTGAGGCCCAGCAAGGCTCACCCCCCTGTAAGGGTTTATTTTGTCTGTCCTTCTTAACTTATTCTTGCTGTTGCAGCACATCTGGGCTGACACAGAGGGCTCAGTCTAAAATCTAGGTCAGCACGACCTTTGGTAGACCCAAAAACCATACATTAGAAATATGTTAATTATTTTTTTCTAAGTTCTAACAGTTTAATGGAAAAATTTCATAATTTATATGTATAATATGTAAAGTTAGTTTACAAAAACTTCTAGAAATTTTTTCTTTGTTAAATTTATTTAACTTATTTATTTTGTGTTCATATTCAGCTGTTTATTGATCACAGATCTTATTTTCATATTACCCTTTTGACTGAATTGAAGGTATCACATGAGAATGCAAACACATTTTTAGCAGCAAACTGAGTAGAAAAATAAAGAATATATAGAAAACCCACAGAATATTGTGGGCAGTAAATGAAACAGCCACGTGCATGCTCCTCCATGTGTAAAACTGTACAAAAAATGTATGAAACAGATTCATTTGCCAGGGTTAAGAGAAAAAAAAAAGTGGGTTCTGACACAGTGAGTCCCCCTTAAGTCTCTCTTCACTTTCTGCCTTCTTGAGGAGCACTGAAGGGCTCACCAACCAGATGCTTTATTTAAGTTTACTATACTCCTGTTAGCCGATACCAGTAACAGGGTGAGTGGTGCCCTGCGTGGCATCGTACTGTTTTTCAGGTTTAAACACCCCTGATGGTCTGAAGTCTAAAAGCAAATCCTTATGAGCCTTAGTCTAGCTGCCTGATTCCTCAGGTGTGAGATAATTTCTGCTCTGGAGGCCTTTGGGTGTGGGCCAGCAGTTTATACAAGGTGCTAGGCATTGAACTCAGTGGAGGCAGAAGTTTTGTTTTGCTTTTCCCAGCTCTCCACATCTGGCCACCCCAGCACCTGTTACAAGAACTTCTGGCTATCCATAAAAGCAGTCCACAATAAAGAAGGAAAATCCAATCTGCTCTTTTGAATGTGATCCTAGTACTGTTCAGTGACACTGACAGACTTCTGAACACTGGATGTCTCTCAGTTCTTTCCTGCCATGGGCAGTTTGTGTGGAAAGGACAGGAGCATGCTCTGAGACTTCACCTGCCATTGTACGCCCAAATTGAAACCTCTTGAAGCAGAAGCTTTGCACATTTGTTTGCTTTGTAATTTGTGCAGTTGCTCTCCACCCTTGAGCTCAGTGACTTATTATGATTTAAACCTCTGCAAATGAGGCTGCTCAGCTTTCTCCCTCAGCATTTCCATAAAGAGTTTCAACAAAGCCTATGTAAAGTTAACAAACAGGTGATTACAGTAAACAGTAGCCTTCAACATATTAATGTAACATTTCTTTTTCCACAAATAATTAGAAGTGCTGTTTTTATGCCCTAATTGTACCACTGAATTTTAAGGAAATCATTACTCTAAATGCAGAAGTTCTCATGGTAATTCTTCATTAAAAAGACAGAATCTGGCTTCTAATTAGCCTGTTCAAAATGTTTTTTAAAAGGAACTTATTAGCTTATTTTAAAATGACTGAAAGAGAACTCTTTCAATAACTATTTGAAGTGATGGGTGCACCACTTGGTTTATACCAACCCTTGCTGTTGTGCACAACTTGCCAGCAGCACCGTGGGGCACGTTGGATTGATGTGCTGGGCTCCCAGCAGGGCGGGTGCACACGGAGTCACCTGGAAAAAGAGGGGTTACCCAGTGAAAACCACTCACACACACACACACACACACACACACACTCACACACACACACACACACACGAGTTTGCACAATCAGGCCTCCAGCAGACACCTTCAGAAAAAGAAAAAACGGCAATGGAAAGTACCACGATTCCTCAATTTCCTTTATTTCCTTTCCTCCCGTCCAGAGAGCCATAACTCCTAGTCATGTGTTAATAAGATTTTAGGAAGTTTATTTCAATACTATGCTTAGTTTTTGTAGATAAATATAGCAAGATTGCTCAGCAATGTGAAGGAATGCGTTCCGAAAGAGATTTGCAAACAGAGAAGAATCTTACATTGTTGGATCTTTTAAACTGCACCATTTCATCTGAATTTTCAGATATCTGTATCTTAGCATTTTTTATGACAAAGGAATGGTTGAAATACATTTTCTATAATTATTTTTCCATTAAAGCAAGCGCTAACCATAGTTAACATTTTTAATTATTCATATCTATACAGTTACAATCTAGTTTTCATGGAATCTATTTTCCCTTCAAAAAAGAGTAATAACAATGTTGAAAGCTTCTTTTCCAGTATTTAAAGATCAAAATCTAAATTTTCTCTTGTGTTTCTATCCTTACTAGGTATTCAGATATCTAGATGTACTGTACATATTAGTCTGGGTACCTTTACTAATATTCACAGTATTTAAGATTAAAAATGCAATTTGTTGTTTAAGTATGTTATTTTATTCTTGTGTAAATTGTTTTGTACAATCTTTAAAATTCTACAGTTTTGCATTTGTAGATATTAAAGGTAAGCGATTTATTTTGTGTTGTCCTGCATGTATATTTTTGCTGTAGATAAGTGTTGCTTAGTTTACTATTTCAGTACATTTCTGTTTAAATAAATAAGCTTACAAACTTTAATACAGTATATATTTTCAAAATATAAACTTTTATATTTCTGTGGTAGGTTAGGGTATGCGTTTTAGGCAATCTTTTTCACTACTATGAACTGTTCTTTTAATCTATAATATAATGGTTTTGTGCCAATAGTTTTTCATTAGAATAAAATGCTCTTTTAATGTTAGGGATGAACAAACAGTTTTGGTTGGGGTTTGTTTTATTTTTGGTTTTGGGTTTTTTAATTATTTTTCCAGCCTTTACAGTTTTAAATATAATTTATAAATGCATTGCATTTGTGAATAAGCCTTACCATTAGGTACAAGAAATCTTTAAAGCTGCATAATTGCTTGTGCAGCACTAAGGACTTCCCCAAATAATTGCTGTAAGAAAGTTAGCAAATCAGAGTACAGGGCCTTAAGTTTTTCTTGTGAAAAGGATAATACGGGTTGTTTCTTTGAACAACATAGGTAGACTTGTCAGCATGGGCTTTGTTATATATGAACTGTGCATTTGTGCTCCCAACCATGGTAGTTTAATCTCAGGCTTTGTGTGGCTGGGTCTATAAAAGTCAAATCTGGCTAAAGCCAGCACTCTTTAGGAGACACTAAAGAAGTTTACATAAGAGACTTATAGACAATCTTATCATAGTACATTTGGGTACTCCTATCCTCGATGTGTTATCTGTGTCTGCCCAATTAACCGTATGTTTTAAGCCATATTAAATCTCTTTACTGCTACTTTAAATACTACACTGAAAGTCATTCACTAGCTTGCTTGCTCACAGACAGGATTTCGATTTTTAGTGAATAAAAATGTTATGCCTTCCATAAAAAACAAAGGACCAAAGAATTGCATTATTCTAATCAAGCATTAGTTCCTTGCCAGTGAACTAGTTTGACATTTGTACCGAAGATCAAACAGTCTCTTTCTGCTTCAAACACTGCATCCTCATCCATGTCAGGTGTAAGGGGGAAAGATGTATCCACTGAGCTATTGGGAAAGGAGTGATGTTCAGCTGGGATGGCATGTCTATTGGTAAGGCTTATTACCAAACCTCTGAGATGAAGCAAAGAACCAAAAATTCACAAGTTATGTCAATGTAAATTTATTTTCAGAACTTGCACAAATAATTAATTGTAGAACTTTGCAAATTAGGCCCTTAAGTTATTTTGTCAGAATGCCATGGAACAGACTAAAACAGTTTCTAATATTTGTAATGATGAGTACATATTATAATATTATAAGGGTACAGGCACCCCTATATCACAGTGTTGTAAATATTTTCTGAAACTGGTACAGTACTGAGGGACTTGTATCTTCTGATATATCAAATATTGACTGTCTAGATCAAATTGTACACAATTTATTTGTTGATGGTCCTGTAACTAGTGTATGGACACATTTCTGGGTGCCTTAGAAGTTGTATTTTTCATGTGTGTTAATATGCAGTATTTATACATTGTGAGAAGCTGCTTTGAATAAAAACATTGAAACTTCATTTCACTGCAGTGATTTTCAGTTTTACACAATCAGAATGAATGTGGTAAGTGGTAGCCATTATATGTGATAATGCTATTCACAGGCTCCTGCCTTTCCAAAGACACCAGGCACACAGCGGGCTTTTCAAAAGAAAATGAATTTTTTTTTCAAATAGCAAAACCCAGGGCACTAAAAGACCCTGCATGAAGAACTCTCTGAAATCAATTATGATCCATTTCAATTACCATTCCTTGATCAAGACCAAGAAAACCAGCAAGAACTGTCTCACAAAGGCACTTCTAGGACACCATTACCCCTTCACATACTTGCACCTGAAGCATTCATGCCCAGACCCAGCTGCTCCAGGCAGGATTTTGGCTCCACGTGAGGGAATTTGATTTTGAAGTGGTGTTTGCCAGACCAGGCCAGCCCCAGCCTGGTGCAGGAGGTGGATCAGCCTGGGGGCCCCCATGGCTCCAGACAAAACTCCTGCCAGGGGCTCCTGTGTTCCAGGGGATTCTTTGCCCACAGCATCCACAAATGCCTGTTTGCAATCACGGATCTCCTGTGATTAGAAGAGTAACTGTAAATTACTTCTGCCCGGGGCAGAAAAGGAAGGAGATTTTTACAGAGAGCCAGGGTTAGACAACCCAGTTATCCAATAAGGTCTGAAAAAATTACCTATATTCACTCAAAGGAAACAATTAGTTCTGGCAATTATATTGGTTGGCTTTAAACTGTGGTCAGCTATTTGGAGCAGAGGATTGAGCAGTTTAGTCTTGCTTCACTATCAACAAATCCAATTATTTATTACAGTGACTCTTGTCAGGAATTAATGTAGCGTCCACTGGAGTGTGAGCAACATGCACATGATGAACAGGGTGTGACACCTTTCCTGTCTAACAGTTTTATTGGTAAGTTTGGGTTAGTTTTGACACAAATTGCCAACATGTGAATTTAATTTTACATAACTCATTTTTAAAAGAAAGCAGAATTCTTTAAAATAAAAAATTTCATCCAAATATTTGGAGAAGGGGGGTTTCAGGGTTTTTCAAATGTCAATCCTTGCTGCAGCAAATTAATACACAGATTACATGGAAGAGGAATCTGTTAAATAGATGTAAAGAAATAATTGCATGTATAAAAGAACAGGAAGGTATTAATCCCAGTTAAGGTATAAAAACAGGTCAAAGCTCTGCATACACTAAGATGTGCCACTTCTCATTTTGAGTAACAGAAATAATATTGCATATGGCAAGAACAAGGAGAGGTCCTGAAAGCAAATGATAGCAAGTGAAAAAACCAGAAAGACAATTTCAAACACTGGAGGAGTTCAAAGCAAAACAATTGTTAGAAGTTGGACTAGGGGACAGTTTGGTTACAAAGGAAAAAGTCAGGTTTGATTCTGGACATATTAACTTCAGGAATTCACCTCTCCTTGGGTGTCTTATTTGTCATGAAACCCCCTCAGAAGTAAAATTTAATCAAACACAACACATCTCTTCACAACTCTGACTTAACCTCAAAACCAATCTCCAGTCATAGCATGGAGAGTTTCAGATTACTAAAAAAGCCAGACTAACAACCCCCTCTAGAATTCAAACCTCGTGAACTCTGTTAGCACCACTTTGCTTTAATTTATACTCTTTCCTTGGTTTTACAAATTTTCTCATTACAGATATATAATAAAAACAAAATTGTTAAAACCTTCGTTAAATTCCAATTATTAAGTCTGTCTGGTGACTCAGTAATTTTCATCTGGAACAGTTAAGAGTACTATGGGAGAAAGAAGGCAATTTTCATTTTGAGAAAATTAAACATTTCATATTTAGTAACTTTGAAAATTCTATGTTGGACTGTATTACCTTTCCTTATCACTTCATGACACTGGTGTCACTTGAACTAAACCCATGGATCAATAGAGATCATCCTCCTGACTTCACTTGCTTCTAAAGAAACCTTTTCAATGTTTTTGCTGACTCCTGTTAGTAGAAAGTCATGCCCTGCTGTGTTTTAACCTTCCTCAACTTTTCAGTCACATTAATCAACTTGAATTGTGGATGACTGTGTAACACATCTGTGAAACTGATTTTACACATTGGTCATAGATAGAAATATATTAGTGAACAACTGTAAAAAGTGAAAAATGCTCTTTGCAACCAGGAGTCATGTTTGAAACAAGGGCTGTTAAACTGCTGCTGCTTCCTAAGATGAAATAAAAAGTTTCATCTAGCACTGGAGTTTCTAGAATGAAAAATTATTTTAACACTAAGCAGCAATCTTGACTCGTTAGAGCTGAGTTAATTACTATCATCTAGAAGCAAGTTATTCACAGTCATCCAGAAATGTGTTTCTGATGTGTCTGTAAATAAGTACTACACTATCTATTACTCCAAAAAAGATCAACAATTTCCTCCTGCTGTCCTTCCAGATGCCTGCTTACTCCATATGCTGCCCACCAATTCACTTGCATTAAATGAATACAGGAATTCACACTAAACTCATCCCATGTCTAATTATTTCAGCCTCTCACTTGTTTATTTTCTATGCAGCTGCAGCAACTTTGTCAGGGGCTCAGACTCTGATAAACAATTCCCTTCAAGTCTATCTTTTGCCCATTAGACCCAAAATGAGCAACAGCTCCGTGCTCCTGATGGCTGCAGTGCTGA